TCTCTCTCTCTCTCTCTCTCTCTCTCTCTCTCTCTCTCTCTCTCTCTCTCTCTCTCTCTCTCTCTCTCTCTCCATTTTGACACACACCCATATGCCCCTCAACCACACCCACGTACCTGACAGCCACATCCACCTACACTCACAAACACAAGCAGAACCAGACCATAGAAAAACAAACGAAACCACCTCCCTCTCCCAACTTCCAGCACTGGGTGATCAGCCACAGTTAACAGTTGAAAGACACTTCACTTGCAGGCACAGGTGCCCCACGAGCACAAATGGAAACGGCGTGAACCGAAGGAGACCACCACTGAATAGAAAAAAAAGAAGCCAATCTACAACCCTCTCTGTTGGATAAGACAAGCCGGGTCACCTCCTACTACTCAGAAGAGGATATGTACGCATCAGCTTGCTGGTTCGCTGCACCTGGTCCAGCTATTCCTACTGCTACTTATGCTGCTGCTGTCTGCTGTGCTGCTGTCTGCCCTCTGCTGGGCTGCTGCTGCTACTGGTACTGATCAATCCTCTCCTAGTTGCGCCACTGTGCTGACCCATGTCATCACTAGGACGAGGATGTGGATGCAATACGTCTGTCATCGACTGTTCAGGTGGGGTCTGCTGAGTGGCCTGCACAGGGTATTGGCATAATGCAAGTCCTTGACGTCATCGCCTGAGATCTTCTCCCACCCATCTGGCCCAACGTTGTACCGACACTGATCGTTCCTCCGCTCGCAGCATCTCTAAACTCATGTCACTAGGACGAGGATGTCGATGCAACGTCTGTCATCGACTGTTCAGGCGGCGTCTGCTGGGTGCTCTGCACAGGGTAGTAGGCATAGTGCAAGTCGTTGACATCATCCCCTGAGATCTTCTCCCACCCATCTGGCCCAATGTGGTAGACGCTGACCGTTCCTCCGCTCGCAGCATCTCTAAAGGTGGCATGGTAAATGGCTCTTCGGCCGAGCTCGCACGCCGCCTCCTTTTTCAGATCCCACTTGTAGCCGGCGTCCAGCACACCGTACGCGTAGGTGGAACCCGATCCAACAGAGAACCTTTGGCCTTTAAGCCGAGCGCCATCGCTGTCAATGTAGTAAACGTTGGGCCCAGTATCGTCCCAGCCTGCAATCATGGTACCCATGGAAAGTCCCATTCCGCGATAAGAGAAGAGAATGTTGGCGAGGAGTTTGGAAGCGCCAGCGACGGAGATGCGCTTCTTGTTGCCCAGCTCGTGAAGGCGGCAACGGAGGCCAAGGTTTCGCTGCCAGAACTGGCAGTCGGCAGCACCTCCAGCCATCGTTCCAAGAAGGTAGGGGTTGATCTCAATGACTTTTTTGACCGTCTGAGAGGAGATGTACGGTCCCATGCTGGCGCGGGAGTCCACCGCGACAACCACTCCATCCTTGTAGATGAAAGCGAGAGTCGTTGTACCCTTACTCGGCTTCACCATTTGCACAGCAGACTTCTCAAAGGCGTCCAGATCAGCAACCTGGGGCAGCTCCAGCCGGCCGGGGACGGTCTTCTCAAGCAGACCCATCACATCCTCTTCGGCACCCAACCCCGGAAGACGACTACGACATAAAGTCGGCGGATCAAGGCAACTCAGGTCGGTCCTCATCGTGCTCTCTTGCTGCTTTCCTTCTTCTGACAACAACAGGCACCCAAAACTCCCAACTGTTCCTCCGCGGGAACAGATTTCGCAATGCCTCCGTTTCTGCTCTTTTGCTTCTCTCTTTTACTCTTCACTCACTGTTCACCCCTCTTTCTCTTCCAACCTGAGGTACAGCTAAGTTGTGCTCCTACTCCTCCTCCTAATCCCTACCACCACGTTACAATGAACTCCCCCCGGCGGGAGATCGGAAAAAAAAAAGGCAATCACTGATAGGAATTCGAACCTCTGAGCCGATAATGAAATAGAAAAAGACACTCAGTGGCAACAAATCATGAACTGCAAGACAGACAAGGAACAAGTACATGCCAGGAAAAAAAGAGAAAACACAACAGGCGTTAAGAGCACAGAAGACCAGTCCCTTGGATGCCTGTATCCACAAGACGGGCCAGCGCGGCTTCGCCCGCATAAGAAAGGGGTATTAACGTAATTTAAACTAGTTCGCAATCGAAAGACAAAAAGTAGAAAAGAATGCAATTTAGGAGGAGAAGAGTTAAAAAGTATGGCGGTGGGAAAAAAAAAGAGCGGCTTTTGTCGTTAAGCAACAGAAA